CCTCCTGCCTTAGCCTCTCAAGTAGCTGGGATTACAGGCAGGTGCCACTGCACTCAGCTACCTTTTGAATTTTATTACACTGAAATCATTACTCAGTTTTCAAAATATAAAAAATTTAAATAAAGGAAATTGGGCACGATGCTACATGCCTGTAATCCCAGCTACTCAGGAGGGAGATTACAAAATCGAGGCAGAACCTTAAATTAGGATTCAGATTTGTAGTGCTGGGGATTGAGCCCATGGGTTTTACCCATGCTAGACGAGTGCCCTGCCACTGAGCGGCATCCCCAGCCCTTTTATTATTTTTTTTATGTTGAAATGGTGTCTTGCTAATTTGCCCCAGTTGGCCTTAAATTTGTAATCCTAATTAGAATTCAAGTTCTGTCTAATGGGAGCCTCAAAACACATCCACCACCAGACATGCCTGTAATCCCTGCAACTTGGGAGGATGAGGCAGGAGTGGAAGTTCAAGGCTACCCTGGGAAATTTAGCAAGACCCTGTCTCAAAATAAAAGATAAAAAGAAGTAGCTCAGTGGTAGAGCATCCCTGGGTTCAATCCTTAGTACCACACCAAAAAAATAAATAATACTAATATCCCTAGATTAAGGTACTTAATACAGTGTATGGCCTATAGTACTTGCTCCTTAAATCCTAACTCTCATAATTAACATTACCATTATACCTTCCTTATTCACTCAGTCTGTGTCTATTTTCCCCTCTTAACACATGTAGGCAGTGATGGGCTGGTAAATGTTCAACAGTTAGCTTTCCAAGATTTTTTAAAAGCCTTAATTTGTAGTTTTTCCTGATTTCTATGTTAATTCTCCAACCATGACCAATTGTGAGCTGTCAGCTTGATGGTGACTGGGTTGGTTCTTTTCTTTTTTTTCTTTCCCTTCCTTCTTCCTTCCTCCCTCCCGTCTTCCTCCACCCCATGGGCCTTTACCGATGCTAGTCAAGTGCTCTGCCACTGAGCTGCATCCCCAGCCCTTTTTATTTTTTTAATGTATGTTGAAATGGGGTCTTGCTAATTTGCCCTGGCTGGCCTTAAACTTGCAATCCTCCTGCTTCAGCCTCCAGAGTAGCTGAGATTACAGGGGTGCACCACCATACCCAATGAATCTTGGGCTCTTGAGGGCTGGTATAAACAACTCTGTCACACAGAGGATTAGTTAGAGACATGAGATTCAAGTTCTAATGAGAGCCTCAAAACATATCTACCACTGGAGCATGCCTGTGATTCCAACTTGGGAGGGTGAGGCAGGAATAGGGAGTTCAAGGTCAGCCTGGGCAATTCAGCAAGACTGTGTCTCAAAATAATAAAGAAAAGGGACTGTGAATGTAGCTCAGTGATCGAGTGGCCCCAGGTTTAATCCCCAGTACTGCAAAACTAAAAAGTTAAAAAAATTAGAAGCCACATCCACCTTAACACTGCATCTGAACCCTGGAAGCTCTCCCTGACTTTGACTCCAGCAGTCAGGCACTCTGCAGATATTTATTGAGTTTCTGGTATTTGCTCTCTGGAAGCACTTACTCAAAAATGAGAATGTGCAGCCTGCTCTGTTAAATCGGCTCAGCGTTTCCCTTCCTGTCCAGGGAGCCTCCCCGGCCCTCCTCCCTCTCCTCTCACCAGCACCTTTACAGGGAGACCCTGCTTCCATCTTTAGGGAGTTTGCTTCAAACTCTCGCCCCCACGAAGCTGCCCCTCTCAGCTCCTGTCCACCCAGTGCCCCAGGAAACTGGGTCAGATGGCACCCTCGCGTTTCTCTGAGTAGATATTTGTTTACCAGACCACTGCTTTCCCTCCTTCTCCTCAGCCACTTTACCTTTGGCCTGTCCCCATGCTGAGGGGACAAATGTCACCTCCTAGACATTTAGGTCTACTACAGAACTGAGCAAAGACCTTAGGGAAACCACCTGGTGTGTTGGAGGATCATGGTGAGCGCATGGTGTCAGATGACCCTGAGCTCAGAATTCAACTGTCTTTGACCAACTCTGAACTTGGGGCAGGCTAGGTAAGGACAGTCATGCAGCTCATGTTGATGGCAGTTCAAAGCACTGTGACAGAGCTGAAGAACTCATATTGGCAAGTGTCTTACCTTTTCTATATTTAGAGATGTTTAGACACAAAAATACTTGCCACTGTGTTAGAGTTGCTTACCATACTCAGTATAGCAACACCTGTACAGGTGCAGCCTAGGAACACCAGGCTTACCCTGAGGTGTGTGTTGGGCTTCACCATCTAGGTTCTCACAGTGATGAAATCACCCAGCCATTCATTTCCATGGCATCTCCCCATCATTAAATGATGCATGGTTGTGTGTGTGTGTGTGTGTGTGTGTGTGTGTGTGTGTATGTGTGTGTGTGTTTGCTATCAGGTATTAAACCCAAGGGCACATAACCACTGAGCCACATTCCCAGCCCTTCTTTATTTTTTTATTTTGAGAAAGGGTCTCACTGGGTTGCTTAGGGTTTTGCTAAATTGCTGAGGCTGGCTTCGAACCTGCAACCCTCCTGCCTCAGCCACTGAGATTATAGTGTCACTGGGCTCAGCTGCATTTTAAAACTTCATTTGCTTCCTTCCTTCCTTTTGCCCTTTCTCTTTCGTCCTTCCTTTTCTTTCTGTAAGACTTGGTGGCTGTATCTTTTTTTTTTTTTTTTTTTTTAGTTTTTGTATTGTTTTTAATCAAAATACCACATGCACACAAAGTCAAATACTTCTGTGAAACTTATTGTAAAATTACAGGTCTCTCTCTGGTAAGCCCCCTTACCCAATTTTTCTCTTCCCCAGAGGCAACTACTTTGAAGTTTTTTAGTTCTTTCTTTAGGTAATTATCTCTGCATATCTAAATAACACAACTGAATTGCTGCTTCCTTAAATTTTTTTTTCGGTTTTTTTAAAGCATGATCTTTGACTTCCCTTTATGGAACATGACCAAGTACACCATTATAAAAATTATATGTATTTTTCTAATAGATTTTTTTTTTTCTTTCTTTTTTTTTCTTTTTTTCCAGTGCTGGGGCTTGAGCTCAGGGCCCTCTACATGCTGAGCAGGTACTCTACCACTGAGCTACACCTCTGGCCCTAGACAATATTTTCATATGGAATAAAATCAAAAGGTAAAAAAGAGCTATCATAGAATTCTAGATTGGAACCTAGGGCTTGCTCCTCTGGCATCTCCATCCCTTCTCATCTACATATTCCTTACCCCCTTTTCCTGCCTCCCAATACAGTTATAATTCATGTTTATTCAAAGGTCAATATGTAGCATTTATATTATGACCGTGGAATGGGATTCACAGCTGAGCCAGGTAGTATTCTAGAAATACTCATCTTTCCTGTGTACCCTCCACCCCTGGTAACATTTGTCCTATTTTTTTGGAAGGGGTAGGGTTAAGTATTTTCTATCATTATCATAAATTCAACCCAAATAATCACTAATTGTAAGTCTTTTTTTTCTAATTTATTTATTTTTTTCTTTTGGTGGTACTGGAGATTGAGCCCTGGGGCACTTTACTACTGAGCTATATCCCCAGCACTTTTTACTTTTTGAGACGGAATGTCACCAAATTGCCATATTATCCTCAAATTTGTCATCTTCCTACTTCAGCCTCCCAAACAGCTGGGATGACAGGTGCTGTCAATTGTGCCTAGTTGTGAGTCTCATCTTAAAATACTGACATCAGAGTCCTTTGGCGTCACCCTGGTCATCCCTGTGGATCCTGACCATCCAGGAGGCTGGTCTGCTCCAGCCCCAGCTGCCCCAGGCTCCCAGGAAGCCTCTGAGGGTTCCCTCACCTCCCTCTGCCATTGGGCCCACCGTTGCCAGAATCTCCCGCCTGTGGTGGGTGACATCAGTCAGGTGCTTCCATAGCCCTCTGTGAAAACGAATGATTCTAGCCTTAACTTTGAGGGAGAACTTGATGAGGAATTCTAGGTCAGAAATCATTTTTCCTCAGACTTTTGAAGACACAGCTTTGTTTTCTTCTAACGTTCAGAGTTGCGGCTGAAAGATCTGATGTCATTATGATTCTTTGTCTGAAATTTGTTTTTTTTTTCTTTTTCTCTCCGGAGACTTGTCCTCAGTTTTCTGAAATTTCTCCATGATATGCTTTGATGTGAGCCTATTTTCATTCATTATGCACTTTGTGAATAATTTTAATTAAAACTGTCTTTCCATTCTGATACACGTTATTGAATTATTTCTTAGGGTGGCTTTGTACTAGGTCATCTTAGCTATGTTAGAAGGACACCTCCTAGAATTCCCTTCTCTGAATGGTGTCAGCCACAAACCACGTCAGGTGTCAGCTCTAGAAGGTGGAAATGAAGCCATAGCCATATTTATATGCCCTCAAAGTGGGTGTCCAGAGGCAGTGAGGCATCTGTGAGCTCAAATGATTATTTGGGACGACACAGGACCCACAGTTGTATGAGGTCCACCTCAACTGTTCCTTTAGCCTCTCCAAGTTCTTGGGCCAGTGTGTGGAGGGTCTGTGGTGGGGACAGGGTGCTGGATGGGCCTGTACCTCACCATAGCATTCAGGTTGAAAGAAATGGATTTCAGCTTGATCCCTTGGGGTCCACCCTGTCCCATCTTGTCCATGAACAGCTTTCCTCCCCACTCTCCATCTCCAGAGGCCCCGGGCTCACTCTAGCTGTAAAGCCAACCATCTGAGTGGGCAGCCGCACCATCTCCATGAGCCGGTAAGACCCAGCCAATGACAAACTCCGTGTCCTGGTCCCTTGACGTGGCTCTGATCAAGCTCCGATGGACTCATCCCTTTAATGACTTCCTCTCCTTCATCTTCTCTATTCTCTATTCTTATTCTTCTGGAGACTCTATGAGTTGAAGATTGACCACCTGAATAAGTTCTCCACTTTTCTGACCACGTCTTTCTTCTTTTTTAGCTCTCTCTTGTCTTGCTCTACTTTCTATGGAGAGTTCTTCTTTATCTTCCAACAATTCTAACGTATAATCTTTGGGATTCTCTTCTCCAGGTTTGGATGCAGTTTGTCCCCTAAGGATTCCTGTGTTGACAGCTTGGTTCCCTGTGTGCTGTGGTGAGATGTGGTAGGACCTTGAAGAGGTGAGGCCTTATGGGAGGTTCTTAGGTCACTGAAAACATTGCCCTTGCAGCTATAAGGTATTCTCATGGGATCCCTGAGTTTGTTTTCACAAAAGAGTTGTTATAAAAGGATAAAGGAACAATCCAGCCTCCCTAGCCTCTTTGAATTTTATTTTTTTATTTTTTTATTTTTTGCAGTACTGGGCATTGAACCCAGGAGTACTGAGCTATATCTCCAGTCCTTTTTATATTTTATTTTGTCATAGGGTCTTGCTAAGTGGCTCACACTGCCCTTGAACTTGCAATCCTCCTGCATGAACCTCCCAAGTAGCTGGAATTATAGATGTGCACCACTGTGCCTAGTTCCCTAACCTCTTTGACATTCTGTCTGGTGATGTGCTCTCTTCCTTTCAATGCCATCTGGCGTGAGGTTAATACCAGAGCTGATGTAGGCCCTATGCCTTTCAATCTCCAGAACTATGAGTTAAATAAACCTCTTTTCTTGATAATGTTATCAAGACACAGGTATTCTGTTGTAGTGATGGAAAATAGACCAATACACCAGTTCTTTTTTGTTTTCTAAATATTCCTCTTTTTTTAATAGCATACTGTTCTTTCATTAATGCAAAAATCTCTTAACACTCTAGAAATAATAATAATAAATGAGATTTCTTCTTTGTAAATTGTTTCTATTTCCTCCAACATGCTTTTCTTTTTTCTACTTGGTACTGGGGTTGAACTTAGAAGTGCTTCCAGTGACCTATATCCCCAACCCTTTTTATTTTTGAGACCAGGTCTTGCTAAGTTGCTTAGGGTCTTACTGGGTTGCTGAGGCTGGCCCTGAATTGGTGATCCTCCTGCCTTAGCCTCCTGAGTCACTAGGATTACAAGTGTGTACCATGATACTGGGCTACCACTGTGCTTTTTTAATGTTTGTTTTGGTCTCTACTTTATATTACTTTCTTCAAATGTCTAGTGAGACTTGTTTGTTTATATTTAAGAATGAGGTACTTCCTGCATTTTCTGAGCATGTGGGACTTATTGGCTGTGATTGCTGCTGTGTGCTGATATGGCTAGCTCCTTCGCTGGGAAATGCCTGGCTTTAGTATTTTGGATCCTTCCTCTTGGGTTATTCAGGTTCCCAAAGAAGTGACTTCTAATCTCCTGCTAAGACAGTACAAGACTGGCTGTCAGCTTTTTGGAACCAAGGGAGGAAAGAGGGCCCTGGAGGGAGAGACTATGTCTCGGCACTCACAAGAACACTTGTTTAATCCCTCCCTGTTTTTCCATGCAGCTTTACTCTCAGTAGTAGGGCTCTCTCCAATCCAGTCTTCCCATCCCACCTTCTCCTGAAAAGAAACTTCAGTTCTGTTGAGGCAGGAAAGTAGGAGTCACACAGAAGAATGGCACTGGGGAAAAGATCTGGGATCTAGTGGCTTTTTTTTTTTTTTTTGTACTGGGGATTGAATTCAGGGATGCTCAACACTGAGCCACATCCCCAGCACTCCGCCCACCCCCAGACACCTTAAAGACAGAATATCAATGAGTTGCTTAGGTCCTTGCTAAGTTGCTGAGGCTGGCTTTGAACTCTCAATCCTCCTGCCTCAGCCTCCCAAGCTGCTGGGATTACAGGCATGTGCACCTCCATCTCCAGTTTAATGAAGTTTTTGATAAAATACAAGCACATTTATGCATATTCAATCCTCCACCTTTACCTGAAAATCAAAATCTTTTTTCAATTAATCAATTAAAGAGGGGGGCGGTGGCACACACCTGCAATTCCAGCAGTTTGGGAGGTTGAGACAGGAGAATTGCGAGTTCAAAGCCATTCTCAGCAATGGCAAGGAGCTAAGCAACTCAGTGAGACCCTGTCTCTAAATAAATTATGAAATAGAGCTGGGGATGTGGTTAAGGGGTTGAATGCCCCTGAGTTCAATCCCCAGTACCAAAAGAAAAAAAGAGAAGGGTAATGATATTTACCAATGGAATTGGGAATTGATTAATTGAGGTAATACATGTGAAGTACCTAGTATAGTGCCCAGCACATTAGTACTCAATAAATTATAATTATGATGGTTACTTGTTATTGTTTTAGTCTTTACTTAGGCTAAAGTACACCCAGTCTGGATGGTTAATAATTTCATAAACATTTTGTTTTATTGAGGACAGTATGTTCAAGAGGATTATGCACATTGAGGATTATGTTGCCAATTTTGAATTTTTTGCCTGACCTCTCCCATCAGACCACTAGAAGTATGTCCAGGAGACACGGTCTCCACTTAAGGACAGCCCACTCACAATTTGGATGATGGTTTTGCTATCAGGAGGAAATCCTATAAAATAGTGCAAACCAGATGTACATCACTTGGAAATTTTCACTACTGGTCCCTTCTATTAATATGCTGTGTGATATCTGCTCACCAAGTGATACTTTACAGAGCGCTGCTTATAGTCATTTTCATATCAACCCTAGCAGGCAGCACTATTCTATTTTATTATTCAGAAAATTGAGACTCCCCAGAGTGAGGCCTTGTGTTTACTGATGTGTAGCCAACAAGCAATTTAGGATCAGAACACAGGGTTGTTTCTTTTTTTTTCCTCTCCTTTTCCAATGTACTAAATGAGAAGAATGTAAAAGTTCTGAACTTCCATTGTGTAATCTAGGAAATAAATGGCTTTTGTGGGCAGGGAATTCAGGAAGGTCATGGCTGGGTGGAACGCACCTGTGATTTCTTATGCAACCACAGCCACATATCAGGTAGTGCTGTAGTCATTGGAAAGCTTGACCAAGGTCCAAGGTTCCAATACAGCCAACTCACACTTAGAGCGAACTAAGCTTCCTGTATCAGTTACCTAATGCTGTGTAACAAATTACACCTTAATTCAAAGACTTTAAAGACAACAATTTTTAAATTAAAAAAAAAAGGATGAGAGCATGAAATAGCTTAGTTACAAGAAAAAACTTCTCTAGGAATCAGTTTGGATAACTCTAAGGATATCAACAGTGACAAGGATATAGAGCAACAGGAACACTCTCATTTCTTGCTCACAGGGATGCAAGATGGTGCAGCCACTCTGGAAGACAGTTGAGCAGTTTCCAACAAAGCTGAATATACTACATGACTCAGCAGTTGTGCTCCTTAGTATTACCCAAAGGAGTTGAAAACTTATTTCTACATAAAAAGGAATATTGGTTCCTACTGTTAACTTTCTATTGCTGGGACAAAAATCAACTTAAAAAGGGGTTTGGTTTCAGAGTTTCTGTTCATGGTGGGTTGGCACCGTTGTTTGAGGGCTTGCGGCAAGGCAGAAGGTCACGGTAGGGAGTGGAGCGAAGTTTCTCACTTCAGGGTGGCCAGGAAGAAAAAAGAGAGAAAAGGAAGTGGTTGTGACCCCAATACCTCCTTCAAGGACACGCCCCCAATGACCTGACTTTCTTCCCCAAAGTCCCTCCTCTTGAAGGATCCATCGCCTCCCAAGAGTGCCACAGGCTGGCCACCAACCTTTACCTCAGGAGCCCTTAGGGGACATTTAAGATCCAAACCATAACAGCAGCTTTATTCCTGATTGTCAGAAATTGGATGCACCCAAGAGGTCTCTCCACAGGTGAATAAACGGCCTATGGGGCATCCGGACAATGGGATAGTACTCAGTGATAGAAAGAATTGGCAATCAAGCCATGAAGAACCCCGGGGAAACTCAGGTGCATATTGCTAAGCGAGAGAAGTCAATCTGAAAAGCTCCATCCTGCACAATGCCACTCTATCCCATTCTGGAAAAGGCAAAACTCCAGGACAGGATGGGATCAGTCAGCGACTGCCAGGGTTCCATAGAAAAGTCTGAGGCGTGAAGACCCGGATCACAGGGGATTTCAGGGCCGTGAAATATTCTTTATGATACTGCAATGGTGGATCCATGTCAGTATGTCTTTGTCAAAATGCACAGAAGACACATCATAAAGAGTCAACTCCAAGCCAAGCGCAGTGGCGCATGCCTATAATCCCAGTGACTTGGGATACTGAGGCAGAAGCGTTGGACGTGGGACTTTGTGAAAGGAAGTCATGTCATTGGGGGTTGTGCCCTTGGAGGAGATCTTACTGAGGCTGGCAAGTTTAAGGCCAGCCTCAGCTACCTAGCAAGACCCTCTCCCTATCAGGAAATATAAATATAAAAGGGCTGGGGGTATAGATCAGTGGTCGAGCACCCCTGGTTCAATCTCCAGTACCATACTAAAAAAATATTTTGTAAACTATGGTCTTTGGTTAAGGATAATATATCAGTATTGGCATATCAGCTATAATAAATATACCACACTAATGCAAGATGTTAATAATAGGGGGAACTGAGCTGGGAGCCGTGATACACGCCTGTAATTCCAGAGGCTCAGGAGGCTGAGGCAGGAGGATTGCAAGTTCAAAGCCAGCCTCAGCAACTTAGCCAGGCACTAAGCAACTCAGTGAGACCCTGTCTCTAAATAAAATACAAAAAAAGATCTGGGGATGTGGCTCAGTTGGTTAAGTGTCCCTGGGTTCAATTCCTGGTACTAAAAACAAAAACAAATAAAAAATAAATTGAATAGGGGGAAATGAAAAAGAGAGGTTATATGAGCACCCTCTGCTTAACCTTTTTTGTAAATTTTAACTGCTCTAAAAATTTAAGTGTATTACTTAAAAAACAACAAAACAAACTGAAGACTGAAGTAGGTTGATTACAAGATAAAAGCTTACTAAAAGACAGCCCCAGTGTCCCCAAGGGGACAACCTTGAGGTAAAGATACTGAAGGATAATAATGCATCAGGGTTAATATCTGCACCTTCCTGAAATAACAGTCCAGTCTGGATGACTGGAGATTGCCAGAGATCCTCAGTTTTAATACATTGGAGCCAGAGGAAGGTAGAGAAGTCATTTGAGTTCATAAGTTCTCCCCTCCCATTTTTTATTGTGATTATTATAATATTTTTCTATGGAGCCCGTGCCACAAAGCCCCAGGAGCCCAAAGGAGACCAGACGCCTGTTTTAAA